ATTTTGAGAATTTTTAGGTCAAGAAGTCAGATTTCTTCCATTTTTTGCGCGGCAGCCAAAAATTTTGACTCTCATTGATGTGAAATAGAAAGGGGTCTTGAACGATCTTTAAGGGTAACTTAAGAGTTTATTTCCCCGATTATTTGAAAAGATAAGCCAACAGCCTGTCCAAAAAACCTTGTAACCGCAGAGATAATCAGCGTTGGGTATTGCTGGGGGCTTTTTCTTTGAGCCAGAGCCCAGCTTTGATTTATATTTGTTGTCATTGACCTTAAGTCCTTAGAATCTCTCCATTGGAGTGAAATAGAGGAAAAGAGAGTGAAACAGAAAAAAATATTTTTACGTTCAATTTTGGTGGAAGTTTGGTGAACTAGCCACATATCTCTTTATATCCCCTCAATAGTATTAACAACCCCTATGCAACATTAATCATCCACTGATATCTCTCTTTATTACTGCAAATCCCTCGTTATCTCTTTAAATTCACCATAATCCTAGTAAATTACCGAAATCTTCTATACTACAACTCCACAGATTCTTCAATTTTCAGCACCGCAGGCGAAAATTTTGAGGATTTTGGAAGATCCTTAAGCCAAAAATCTTCGCTTTTCAGCGCCGCAAGCGAAAATTTTGGGAATTTTAGAAGACCAACAGGCCAGATTTCTTCATTTTTTCTAAATGAAAATATAATTTTGTCAGAAAAATCCATTCTTAGGGGTGTAAAAATTTCCCGACTTAGTCGGGAATTGACACCGGGAGTCGGGATCGGGATCGGGAGGCCAAAAACTCGGGAAATTTTCCCGAGTCGGGAGTCGGGATCGGGATACCCGAGCATCACTAGCGTGTATATGCATTAAATAGAGTCAAAAGCCCCTCAAATTTATTAAAGTTTCCCTCATTAATATGAAATAAAATTAATTAAATTAATTTTTAAAAGTTAAAATTTAATAAAAAATTTTTTTATAATTAAAAATAAAATCAAAAACGACTTTTCGGCAAATTAATAAAGAAAAAATGTGGCAATAGAATATAAAGTGCATCCCTTTCATTTATTCACATGCTTTAGATAAGGATTTATAGATTACTTCGGATACTTCAAAGAAAATAATAAAATTTATAAAAATAAATAAATTTTGAAATTATTACCTAATAATTAAAAAATTTTTTAAAATTGAAGCAAGATACTCCAATCTTTTGGCAAAAATTATTAGTGTTTGATGGCAATTTAAATCAGAGCCACATAATTTCCGAAAATTTTCTTTTTTCTTTTTTTTCTATACCAGAGATCGCACCGACATAAAAATATAATTCTCAGTTTTAGGAATTCACGACACAAAAAATTCGGGAATTCCCAATTTTCAGGAATCAGGGATTTAGTTGGTCTAAACACTTCTTGTAATAAAACTATCTAAAATTTATACTAAGGTTTAACTATTAATTACAATAGGTTTAAACATTTATGGACTTAAATTTTTAAGAGATACACAAAATAATTAGCAAAAAACTTCTTTCGAAGCAATCTCGATGTAATTAACATCTGTTCAAAACAATGCACTTTAGATTGTTAGAGTGAGAGCGAAGTTTTATTAAAAAATAAAAAGTATGTTGGATCAGCGCAATGATAGGTCATTTTATTTCTTCTGAATTTGCGTGTACGGGGACACCTCGATGTACCATGAGCCCAATGTACCGCCGAGCTATAACTTTGTTCAAAATTGTCGAATCCGTGGTGCCCTAGTATGGTCGATGCATTGCTACCAGCTGAATCGAAACATGTCAGGGCGCCTCGGATTCGACAATTTTGAACAAAGTTATAGCTCGGCGGTACATTGGGCTCGCGGTACACTGGTCTGCTCCAACGTGTACAAATAAAATTGGCTTCAGTTATGCGAGATTTGATTAGGAAATCTGTTCCGTTTATATTTTGCTTTGTATTATCAATCTCGAAAAAATAATAGAACTTGATCCTAAGAGATCTCCTCTTCAAGGTAATCAAACCTCCATTTTCATGTTTGCTTTATTTGGAATTTGGGAGGCAATTTCATCGCCCTTTTTAAATTAATATTTTTCAAAAATCTGTTTTGATTATCTCTATTATCTTTACCGCTTTACGCCCTATAAGAGAAGGGCATTGCTTTATATTTTTAAATGCAGACAAAAATAATAAAATGTGAATACGGCAAAACATAAAAGAAAGTGCACTATTGCAAAATAAGAGTCATGCCTCGGCATCTTATGACAAATTTCTCTATCTTATTTTATCTATTTATTCTGTCGGCGATGCTTTCTTTATTCATTTTCAAATTTTATTTAAAATTAAAAAAGAATTTTTAATCCCCTATTTCCTTCTAAAAATTAATTTAGTTTAGACAATGTTATTGCTTTTGCTTTTCATTGTCCTACCAATCTTGTCCACAAACGTCTCCCCGTTATCTATATTTGTAAAGATTTCTTGGCGAGAGAATGGGGAAGGGTTAAAGTATTACCAATACTTGGATGATAAACCGTCTAAGCGTTTCAATTTGGAATTAACCAGCAGTTTGTTGGATAATCCTATTTATGGGCAAACTAATGGCTATGATACCTATCACTTTTTACCAGATGATCTGGTTGGAAAGGATGGAAGCCTAATCACCTTTTTCAACCTTGGAGTGTCTATGAATGGGAATAATGTTGGTTTTGATTGTTTAAAAATTTGTTTTGACAAAATGAAATATTTAAAAATTATCATTTTTATCAACTCTATGCTAGATTGTCGGCGTTTGTTGGCTCGAGCCAATGGCATTTTAAAATCACGGCTCTGGCCCAGAGTCACCATAATTATACTCCTACCATAATTAAACATTATAATTATGAGATTAGATGAATATGCTAAGATTCCAGGCTTGAAAGTAAATAAAATCATATCTTTATCCAGACATGTGCATGGACACGTATTTTAAAATCCGTATCCGGATATATCCGTGAGGTCAATATCCGTATCCGTTTGTATCCGTCCAATTTAACTAACGGGACTTGACGCTAATCTAAAAATTCTCTGCATGTTGTAATTAATAATTCATTTCCTATCTATCCAGATTATAATAACTTTCTTGCCTACATTATCCTCCTGAGCGATTAAAAATTGAGTGAGCTTAGTACCATTAAATCTCTCAAGATTTATTTTAAATCCAAACAAATCTCAGCTTTTTTAGTCAGTGAAAGGATCCATCGATAATATTGAAAATAACTCAATTGTTTACATTATCATTCACCCAGACAAAACAAAATATATAAAAATAACAAAAGAAAATAAACATTTTGAAGGATTTCTTGATTTATTTAAAAATCCTGTCCGTGTTTTACAATTTAATTTGAAAGCTAAATTTGATTCTCATCAAAATTTAAATTTAAAAATTGAATGTATGAATCCAAATGGAGAACCATTTGCTGCAGGATTTGATAGTAATGGTTTAAAGGAAGAATTTCAAACATATTATATTAATACCAAAGTTTGCCCAAATGATCAATATATTTTGACAATATTTAATGACAAAGTAAATATATTTTGCATAATTATTTTTGATCAGCTTTTCGAGGGAAGAAATATATCTCTAGAGCAGTGATGTCAAAGTTCCAGTTCCGGAACTAATTAGTTCTAGTTCCAGAACAGAACTACGGAACGAACGATTATCTGGAACTAGCTTGGAACCGGAACTATGGAACTAGTAAATGCCTGAACTAGCTTGGAACTGGAACTACGGAACTAGTAAATGCCTGGAACTAGCTTGGAACTAGTTCTTGAACTGGAACTAAGGAATTTCAAAAATGGAGTTCCGAAACTGGAACTGGAACTACAAAAATTAAAAACCTGGTTCCGGAACTAGAACTAGAACTACTAAAATTAAAAATCTAGTTCTGGAACTGGAACTAGTTCCAGAGAAATTTTGGAACTTTGACATTACTGGTTGAGAGTTCTAAAATTTAATAAAATAATCAACTAATTTGTAAGGTTGTCCGTTATTGAGAACTTAGTAAGTAAAACTGTACACCAGAAAATGTCTTAAATGTGTCAAATAATAGAAAAACTGAGACTGAGAAGAGCTTATTTAGCTAGAACAGACAGGGTGAGAGAGAGAGGAGTGAGAGTTCCCACGTTAAATTTAAATCTTCCTTGATATAGTTATTAATATTGTTATCTGGATTTGAGAAAGGCCTTTATACCAAAAACTTTTTAGGTTAATATTTTCGTATATACACAATTTATAATCTGCCTACAGTTCCCATCCAGTTATTAAATCCCTTTATTGTCTTAAATTTAAGTATGCTTTGAATTGCGATCCATCAATACATTCTCCCAACAAATTAAATTATTATGAAATTGAGTTTAATGCGTTGAATAGTCAGCCTACTTGTAAACTCGTTAACTCTGAACAAACAGTGATAAATAATTATTTTCATTTGATAAATGATGATCAAATAAATTTAATGGGGCTAATGGATAAAATCTTTGTTGAGGAAAATGGAACAGAAATACAAGGAGGTAATTTTATATAGTAATTTTATGTTTTTGGGTTGTGTAAGATTCAAACCTGCGACCTCCTCGTAGTTATCCCTGCGACCTCCGCGTAGTAACCTGCGACGTCCTCGTAGCGCCTCCTTACTCTATATATGTGCTCTACCACTGAGCTACCGGGACATCGACTAATGATTGCTCTTTTATCCTATTAGATCTTTTAATCCCTTACGTCTTTACATCTCCATCCTTGCATCACCATCTTTACATCAGACCGGTCCCTCGGTCGAGCCCCTTCGACCGAGGATTGTCTGATTCATCAAACAAAGTCATGCCAATATTCCTAATGGATTCTTTTTAATTTTCTGGAGTACTTCCTAGCCTGATTATCTTTTTGAATACGTCCCGAAATGATTAATCCGGAAGGTCTGTCTACTTAGATTAAAAATTTCTATTGTCGATACTAACTTAGATATAACTGTTATTAATGAAACAAGTCGAAAAAGGACGATGAGCGTAATACAGAAAGAACGAAATCTTAAACGGATTCAGCATATGGAACAACATACTCGAACTGAGTTAAGTCAGATTAGAGAAAGAACTGATTATAATGACATTGTGCAATACATTCTTGTAATTCAAAGACTAGCTCTAAATGAAAATGGATTCGAAAATTTAACGATAGATTTTAATGTTCTGGAACGAATTATTGTCGCATATATATATGGTAAGTAATATGTTGAATATTTATTTTAATTTTCGAAAGCGAAATTTTCCGTCCGGAACATCTACAAAACGCATTTGTACCAGCTTTTATGATATACAAGCTTGGAATAAAGAAATGATTATCGAGATAAATGTGTATGATGATTAAGATGAGATCCTCGTTGAGTTTATTTTAGGCTCGAAGCTTTGCCGATCATTTTTACGAATAATAATCCTAAGTAATATGTTGAACGAATACGATCCTTTGTCTAAAAGAGTCGATGACCTTAATACAGGAAAAAAACGAATATTTTAGCTCAAGACTTTTCGGAAAATTGGGCTTCAAAATTTTTGAAATTTTAATAAAATAGGCGAAAAAATATTCTAACAATTTCGATATTTTAAACATACATAATCCGTAAGCGAACTATATACATAAAGATTCAATTCTTCCCAGTGAACCAAAGTTTTCATTTCCCATTTAATTTTTATTTAACAGAATTTGTGGGCTATCCATATGGTAATTATCAAAAAGTGGCTGAACTCAAGAATAAAATAATCTCTGATACGGATAAACAAGACATTGAAGACACTAACAAACAATATGCTATCTTTTCGCAGTCAATAGGATATGAAAAATATATGGAGGAAACAATTTTGAGAAAACAGATTAACGAATTCGCACTTAGAATGGATATAAGACAAAATATAATAGATATAGTCTTTAAGAGGATTAATGAACATCATTTTAAATATCAAATAAAAGAGGAAGCAAATGATAATAAGAATGAAATTACAACAAATACATCAACTCAACATGGATATCTTAACTATCATACGGTTATAGTTGACTTGATCCCAAAAATTTTAGCGAACCTTTTACCCTGCTGCTTGAGGCTCAACATGCTAACTCCTGCCATGTGTGGGTAGAGGGAAGGGTAGAGGGATTCTTGATCCCAGTGATCCCAACAAATTTTCATCAAGTCAACTATTACCAAAAATTTTATTATCCGCTGGCTGATCAATTTCATTATTACAATCCGTTATCACAACTGATATTTCCTCATCTTACATTCCAGCAGCAATTAAATCAAGTTCATAATAAAGCTTGGTTTACCAATACTATGGAAGATATGAAGCAAAATCCATTCCTTCCAGCACATGAAACAGTTCATCCAGTTTCACACTCAACACGTGACTTTTATTAAAATATTTTTAAATTAATAACACCCAATTTTAATTCAAAAAATTAATTTTTAATTAAATATAGCTCAACCTTTGGATAAAGGAAAAAATGTTGTTGAGGATCCGTTGATTAAAGAAAGATCGAAAGTACTAATTAGAGGAACTCATGATACCTTCGGAGAAGCATCCGATATCGTAAGTAATAGTAAAGCAGCCGGGCTTTATGTTATGTACGTGACTTGTATGTCTACGTACTAACAAGAATAACAAGATAAGCAGTAACTAACAACTGTGCTTTATCTACAAGACTAAATACAATAGTAGCGAACAATAGGAATATGGCCGACGCCGAATATGTGGAGCACTAGAATAAGACTAAGAATAGCACTAACTAACACTCACTATATGTGCTTAGTATAAAAGGCTACGGCTTTAGCCATTCGGGGGTTAGTGTCTGTTAGTCGTTATTCTATTCTGTTATTCTATTCTAGTGCTCCACATATTCGGCGTCGGCCATATTCATATTGTTCGTTAGTATTGTATTTAGTCTTGTAGATAAAACACAGTCGTTAGTTACTGTCTTATCTTGTTGTTATTCTTGTTAGTACGTAGACATAGAAGTCACGTACATAACACTTTAGATATTTCTCTCCTTCAGCTAGTGCAAAAGGTTATTCGACGGCTGGGAGTGATTTAATAGCTATATGCTTAACATAATCATTTAAGTTGTAACTTAGTTTTTTAACAATACCCGTCGGGACTAGGACTGTAATAAGATTTCGAATACGCCATATTTTATGGAAAAGTTTTCCTCAAATTTCAGCACAATGAAAGTCAAAAACACCACGTTTTCACACGTGATGAAGCATCTGATGCGCAGTTAAAAAATATTATTGCAATGGATCGTTTAATGAGAGGATCAGGTCAAAGTCTTTTGGGTAAATATTTCTTAAATGCTTTTTATTAAAAATAATGCTAATTAAAATTTCAGAAGATGTTGTTAGCCCTTATCAAACAAAACAAGGTGAATCCTCAAATAAATTTCAACAAGGAACCGCAAATAACCCTCATGGTAAAAATCCTGGAGGTACAGGTTTTGTTTGTCCAATGAAAAATCTTAGAAATTTTCTGTTTTACGGAACTAAACCTCAAATTATCTTCTAACGAATCACCTAGCTAAATCACCTAATCACCTAAAAAATCAGCTAAAAATATTAGATTAGGGACTGATACTATTATTGGTCTATTTATATTATCCAAATTTTGCTAAAATTTTTGTTGATATAATGACTCTCTTGCAAATAAATATCAAGAGTATAATTGGGCTTTTTGTGACATATCTCTTACAATGCTCAAATTCCTAGCTAAGGCCGGAGTCGGCTTCAGGAGCTATCTTCCTTGAATCACCCTAACAAAGCCTATTTTTTATTAAACAGATAATCCATTGAACAACTCGAATCTAAGCAAACATTATAATCATTACATGCAAACACCTTCAATATATCGTCCACACGCGACTCGATATCAGCCAACTATGGTACATGATTTCCATCAACTGCTAGGAGATAATAAACAAAAATTGGGAGAATCTTCTGATGATGACACAAACAATAATGATAGTGACAGCTTGTAAATTAAAATTGAGGCTTTAAAGAAATATTTTTTAAAAATTCATTCATAACATATTTTTCATGTTAAATTTGTTATAATCAGTTATTTAAATAGAACAATAGAATTTAAAAATATTTAAATTTAAATTAATCAAAGAGTGAAAATAAAAATTTATTATACATATTTATGTTAAGTCATCTCAAACGTGCCGACTCAACGAGCCAACGATAATTGAATGCTAAAAGACCAGAATGCTAAAAGACCGGGTTAAAGGCCGCTGAAAATCAAGAAAGGTTCCTCACAAAAGATTTTAAAATCAGTCAAATTTTATCATTTTTGAGAAGAAGAGAATTGTAGCTCCGTTCTCAAACTTCCTCTTACTTCCTCATGTATATTTTGAAATAATAATTCGATTTTGAAATACTGATTAAAGAGTTTTCTGGTTTTGTGAAATCTACTTTTTCTAATTTAATTCTGCCTCTACCTTCAGATGCTTCCAACACCTCCAATGTATAATTTACGACATTGGAAGTGTCGGAGTGTCTGCCTCACCTCTAGCCGTTTCCCGACACATCCAATGTATAAACTCTACTTTCTATTTTTGAGAAGAGGCTTTAGCATTAAAAATCAGGGATCTTCTGATTGTATAGTTTTATTAGTTATTCCTTCCTTGTCCAGAGAGTCGATTTCTCAAACTTTTCGGTTTCTAAATTTCAAAATCGAAGCCGCTTAGTCTTTCTATCGCTAGAGAGATAGAAAAATCTTATCAGACGTCTCAATAATATTTGTTAAAGGCATGATTAAGGCATGTGTTAAAAAGACGGATGACTTCCTCTCATTATTTTACCCTCTCAGTTATCCTCATCTCCCCAACTTTATTTTTTCATATATATTTAAAAATTAAAAAAATATTTCTTTTACAACGGATTTAAAAGTGCAAAAGTGATGAAAGCCTCACTGAAAGGCTTTATTATAAAATGCTTCCCTCCTCTCCTTCTCTAATTAAAAAATTTAATTAAAAAATATTTTTTCCCGAAAATGTGGCTATTTTTATTATTCATTGTTTTAAACACCTTTTATAAAAGGGTTGAGCCATTGTCAATATTTGTCAAGATATCATGGCGGGAAATTAAAGCAAATAAATTTGAATATCCGCATTACTTGACAGAAGATACAAAGGAACGTTTCGACTTGAAATTAACAGAAACAGTTGCTGATACGAAAGTTTCACACAATTTTTTGGGAAAAACAGACGGCTATGGCAACTTTTATTTTAATGAACATGATATTCCTGAATATTTTACCTTTAAACATAATCTGGAAATTTCCATTAATGGATACAATGTTTGTTAAATTTATTTTATAATTATAAAAAAATTTTTTTATGAAATTTTTGTGGTATTCCAAACGGAAGGATATAATTAAAGTTTTTATTTTAACTATAAAAAAAAGTTCCTCCTAACTGTTATGTCCGTGATTTGAATATTTTTAATATATTTATTTAATATTCATTTTTACGTATTTCCTCCATTTCTTAATATGTTTAAATAATTCACCCAGTCCAACTTTCAAATATTTTCTCCTTTCATCTCATTCAAATTGTTGCCTTTTTCCTAAACCCTTCCTTAATCATTTTCTTTATGTTTTTATCATCTTTCCGCCCTACCTAGACCATATAAATACATGTTTCATTCCCCACATTTTTCAGCGCTCTTCGGAGCCTCACTTGACCCTAAATAAAGTTATTGACGAAATAAATATATTTAAAATATTTGCCTAAAAAAATTTTGAGAAGAAAAATTTTGAGAATTTTGTAAACCGTTTATTCTCTATTAGACATATTCAGGACAATAGTAAAACCGAAAGATATCATCCGATTTCGCTAGCCCTAGACACAGGGATCATAATCTTCCGGGCAAGATTTTTCCTAGTTTTTTAATAGACACAAATTTAATATTAAACAATTCCTCTCATCGAGCTAATGAGATTATTACCGAAATTCATAAGGGCTAGAAAAAAATTTATCAAACCATAGCCCACAAAATTCATAAGGGGTATGGCTCTGCGTCGTTAAGGCCGCGCTCCGTTTTGGGCTTTGCCCGCTTTTAACAGTGGACGGCGGAATTTTCGTTAATTAAATGTTATTTTCAATTTCACTACAGGTTGGAATATAACAGAAGTTATCGTGCATTTACAAAATGGTATAGCATTTTATTTAAATAAAAATGTTAAAATAAATTATATGTAGACCCCAGTGTAGATTATAAAAGAGATAAAATTGTAAAACATCTCCATACGAAGTATGTTGAAGCGACCAGAAAAAAGCAAATCCCAAATGCAGCAGCTGCTGCCAATTAAATTAATTATGAATTCGATCTAAATGTTATCTCTGAAAGGCAGTCAGTTAGATACTTCAAAATGTTTAGTAAACAAAATATTAATCCTGATATCTGTCAAGTTGACAGTAAGAATAAGCTTACTGAAGTCGACAGCAAACGCAAGGTGCATAATATATATTTTTCCAATTATTTCTAAATAAAATTAAAAATTTAGCGAGACAACATCTCCAATCCTAACAAAAAAAGTAAAGTGATAGATAACTCAGCTAATATTTCTAATCAAGCAAACAAAAATCATGAGTCAGGATGTGGAGTACCGCAGAACGCTTTGGACCGAAGCAAAGGAAAACAATTAGATTTATATAACAAACATTCTGAAACTACTTTTGGAGGTAATCACAAAACGTATTTAAATGATGATGATTATTCCACGTTGCTAGATCACTATTACAAAAGTTACGGCCATCATACTAAAGGGGATTTTACAGGCAAGTTTTGATCAAATTGTATTAATAGCTTACATAAGTTAACTTCCAAGCTCATTTTTATCAATTGTCTCTGACATTTACTTTTAAATTTTGTCAGACTAATTTTTAGTTAAAAATCAGTTTATATTTAGCTCAAATGAGTAACGTGGGTACTTCAGCTCAAACTCCTAATTATTTCTTTGGTGAAAGCCAATTTAATGACAACCGCAAAGGCAATAAATCAAATTTGTTAGTATCTCACAATAAATTTTTTACAAATAAAGCTGATGAATTCACGGAAGATGATTAGAATTTACTATGGAATGATGAGGAATCTCAAGATATGAGGAGGAATAAAATGTGAATAATATTAAAAATTTCTGGACATGTGTTTTCTCTCATAAAATATCTTCATAATTCGAAAAATCTAAAAATTTTGTACATTTCTAATAAAAAATTTAATCAAGAAAGTAGAATATTATTTTATGTATATAAGTAATCCATCGAATTCTTTATCCATCGAATTCTTAAGATTGAGAGTGAGTTATAATTTTAATCAGGGAATGTGGCATTGAATTTTACTCAGAGAAGACTGAATCGGGAAAAAGCCGAAAAAAGCCGAATAATTAAGTCTATCTGATCAACAAAAAGGATTGAATGAATAAAAAATCGTTTAGGAACTCGATCTTGGTAATTGTAAGATTTAATAAAAATCGCTTTCACATTCCTTTCATCCTAAAATTTTAAACCCGTTCTCTTCATTTTCGAGGAGGAGAGAGTTTTTGGATCAAAATTTCCGAGTGATTTCGCCAGTTACTCGAGACCTAGTTGATATTTTTGGTGGCAGATGTTGTGGATTGTACCAAAAATTTAATTAAGGTTCTGCTCGTCAAGGAAATACAGGTGTCTGTCAAGGACATGGAAGAAAAGCTGGAAGAAATTGAACTTGAGAGAAGAAATTCGAGAAAGAAGAAAAGATGGTATTGAGATCTTATCGGCCAATTTTTACATGAATAATTTCAATACATAATGTTTTATGCTTTTCCCAGCTTTTAATTTTTACACTTCCATATACATATTTTTTAAAATAAAATAAAAATTTTCTTCTTTTAAAATAAAAAAATTATTTTATAATAATTAATAATAGAGTAAGCTGAAGGTTTAAATCGCCCATTCCACGGTCCTTTTAAATCTTTTAATTACAAAGACTAATTTGGTGATATTTAGGCGAATTGTTCATCTTTCAATAGCAGTTTTTATAATAACTCACTCTCAAGCTTCAACACAGTCTAATTCTAAAAATCATTGCAGTTTGTTTACTTAACTTTTTCAATTTCCATGTTGAAATTACAACTTATTTGAATTTTAGTCTGGTAAAATAACAATAATGGCGTCTAAAATGCCCTTTCTATCATGCCTTCCCTTCCTCTTATTTTTAATTTCGAAAGATTTCATCAGTCTTGCCCTTTGCGAGAGGGAGAGTAAATAATAATAGACGTCTGATTAAAATTTTTAAATGTAAGTAAAGTGCATTACGGTCATGCGTTATACAGACGCTTGACTCCCCCCTTTAATTTTCCCTCACATTTTTATATTATAAGTAAATTAATTTAAAAATAAGTATTTCAAAATAAAAACATAATTAATGTAAAATATTGAAAATATGTTTTTAAATGTATTTAAAAGTTTAAAAACGATGAAAGCTTCATTGACAAATCTTTATTAAGATTATGCTGAAAGATCAAGTCGGGGCTAAGACATTTGGCCCGAAAGCGACTCGTAAAGACCCAAATTGGGTCCAATAAAGACCCAAATCGTAAAGACCCAAATTGGGTCCGATAAAATGGTTCGAACTGCCCGACTCGAAAACGGCAACCCTTATCTTTATTATCGAAGCTTTTACTTTTCTAAATTTTTATTTGATAGAAATTTAATTAAAAAATATTTTTCCAGAAAATGTGGCTATTTTTATTATTATTTGTTTTAAACATTTTCTTTAAAAACATAGAACCTTTGTCAATATTTGTAAAGATATCATGGCGGGAAATTAAAGAAAATAAATTTGAGTATCCTCATCACTTGACAGAGGAGACAAAGGAACGTTTCGACTTGAAATTAACAAAAATTTTAGTTGCCTATATGGAAGTTTCACAAAATTTTTTGGGGAAAACAGACGGCTATGGCAACTTCCATTTTAATAAGCATGATATTCCTAA